GAGAGAACGAAAACGAGAGAGAGAGAGAGAGATACGAGAGAGAGAAGAGATAGAGAGTTGAGAGAGAGAGAAAGAAAGAGAGAGAGAGAGAAAGCGCGCGCGAGAGAGAGAGCGAGAGAGAGCGCGCGAGCGAGCGAGAGAGCGAGAGAGCGTGAAAGAGCACCGGTTATTTATGCGTTAGTACGTTTATATGGTGCTATTACTAAATTATTTATCAAATGTAGGTCCCGATAATTCAGCTTGGATGTGTTATTTATAACGTCACCATTCCCTAGCTCAGCCCTCCCTCCCCTTCCTCCCCCACCACCATGTAGCCAACCCTCACCTCCCCGAATTCAGCATGTACCGAACCCCCACCAACCCTTGTTGTTAGTCTCCCTTCGCGGGTCCTTCGCCTCGTTTCTACTACGTATGTTACATCCTGACTGTTATTCACGCGTCCGTCTATATGTGACGTCATATGTGACGCCATGTGCCACCTACGAGGTCAGCGATTCGTCGGCGAAAGGAATGAATGAATAAATGAGTGAATAAATGAATGAATACAATGATGAGACAATCACAGACGTCTCACCAGGATATTTTACCAGGACGTTAATAATGCAATAGCCGCCGGTAACGTGCGTTGTCATGATTATATTCTACTCGCGATATTATTAAACAGTAATACTGTATGCATGTCCTTTGAAACACTCAGCCGTTATACAATGTGTTTGAGAATATGATTACGAGACACTAATACGCGCGTGGTCACATGAGGAGTAAATAAAAACAATGTTTTAATTCACTCCTGATCATATATTTATATGCTGCTGCTTGAAGTAAATGAGGTGCGCTTCTATGTAGATGTAGATATCCAAGAATAGCGAGGCCTATACCAATAACGCTGCTGTCGCCATAGCAACAGTATACGCTGCAGTCGCTATAGAAACTTTATATGCTGCAGTCGCCGTAGCAACTATATATACTGTAGTCGCCATAGCAACTATATATACTGCAGACGTCGCCATAGCAACTATATATGCTGCAGGCGCCATAGCAATTGTATATGCTGCAGGCGCCATAGCAACCACATATGCTATTTAATAGGTATTATCAATGTTAGAAACTGATGTGTATTAGCGCCTTGTTTGATCTGTTTACAGGTGCGGTATATACATAATTATTATAAACGCAAATAAACATGTAAATATGCTTTCTGAGACCTCGATCTATGTTGAATAAAAAATGTTATTATTAAAAATAATGTGAGAATGTATTAGTGGAAGTAATATAATGTCGTTTTTCACGTTTTCCTGTGCAATACTAATATAATTTACTGTAATAAATGAAGGTGGAGTGTGAATATGTGTGTGTTTTGAGTATGTTCAGTCGTTATAGATTTGCTGTCGTTATATAGACTGTTGCAGCTTGCATGACATACAGATGACGTGTGTGTCCTGACACATCGCTAAATTGCATTCACTATAACAGCTACTGCCGACGAGGACGGCAACGATGACGACGATTTATTGCATAAATCTATGCTGAGATACACCATAACCATATTAAATGGATATTCATCACAAAATATAACTCCTTTGGTGAGATATTACGCATACGCTAACACACTAACGTAGCCAGATTGTGTACTGACTGTTATATGCAGCGAGCACCTTGCATCCCATGTCTTTTTCCTATTTCATAAAAGAGGTCTACTGATGGAATGCTATTAAAGAAATCTATGCTAGAATATCTACTCTCCATTTTAAATGCATAAATCTCGCAAAATATTCTTCTTCTTTGGAGATATTGCGCTTGCGCGAGCACAGTTTCAGGCGTGCAGTACGGACTAAAGAAAACTGCGTAAAATAGGTTGCTGAGGGAGAGAGGGGTGGGAGACCGAGGAAAGACGGCAGGGAAGATAGCTGAGGGGCGGTAGAAGGAGGCTGGGGGATGGACGATGGAGGTAAGGGGAAGGACGGGAGGTGTGAAGTAGGAGGTTTGCACCCTACAGGCTAGGGCGTTCTCCTAATCAGAAACACAGGTCTACTGATACCAATTTATTGCATAAATCTATGCTGAGATAGTACGAGCACACATACAATGTACATAATATATGTATGTGTAGAT